TCAGCACTGAAATTCCCACATACTGAGAAATCTGTCATTCCTCGGCAAATTGGGAGGGTTGGTCACTGAATATTGAGAGCACCAAGAAAATAATACACAAGGATTCTGAACGTGTGTTGTAGTTCACTAAATGAATTGTTTTCCTTTTTCAAATCCTGCTTTTACTAGGAATCTTGGGGTGCAAAAGATATTAAATGCCAAAATAACAAAAGCTCAGTTTAATTACTAAGCTAAGAATATCACTAAATTACCAGATTTTCTTCTTTCCCAGTGCAGTACTATTCTTTAAGAAATGAACAAAATATACTATGCCAAGTATTTTTTCTTAAGTATAAATATGAAACCATACAGCAAAACATGAATATTAAACTAATATTTCGTTTTAATGTATTTCTTTTTAAAACAGACATTTCCCCCAGATGTAAACATAGTAACCTATTTGTACTGTGATGTAGAATCTCTTATCATTTAGTATTTGAACAGTTCACAGCTGTGAAGTTTAATAATTCTTTTTGTGATTCACTAAATACATCTCCCTAGAAATAATGAAAAGGGAAATGACAGTTTATACAGTTTTCCAAATTCTGTGTTCTTGAGTTTTCAGGACACTACCTGGTCTGTTGCCCCTGTGTCAGAATCATCTGTGGCTTCGGTTGGCATCCCAAACTTTAGTTTGCTTTATGATGCTGTGGACCTTTCACACAAGAGTAGGACTCACATTTGATTGTTAGTAGATGAGCATGATAAAAAAGATATTGGTAAAGAGAAGGACTATTTTTACTTGTTCTATTATCAGGCTAAATTGTTACATAACCTGTAGTCTAGGTTAGAATTTGTGTACCAATATCTCAAGAAAGGTTATAGATCTTTTGAAATGGGAGATCTAGGCTTAGGAAGGGACCTTGAGTGAAAATCACAAAAGGGAAAGTCTTGTCTTATTTGCGAGAGAATTTTGGGAAATTGTAAGCCAGTGAGTATAGTGCAAACACTAGGTTTCAAAAGACCTGGGACACTTCTTTATAGCAAATACTGATACATTGATAATGTTCTTATCCAATGGATTAGCATGAATGGGGACTAGACTGGATTAAGAGGGTTGGAGGTAAGGGTAAAGGTATCTGTTGGTTCACGGGTACCATCATAAACAGCATAGTATCTCAAACCTGGGCAGCACAGAGAACCACAATTTATCCAGTTCCCTTTATGTGTCCCAAACAGCCAAAACACTTGAGTGCACCTACTCTAACAAACAGCCAGCATTTTGTGAGTCTTGACTGCTTGCAGTACTTTAATTTTTACATTTTGCACAGATGCCATTATTTCCCTTTTTATTTTTTGGTCTCTGATTAGTTTGCTACAATAGGAACATTTTGGTGAGTTTTTTTATTGCACAGACTTCAGAAGCTAAACAAACAATTACAGAACAAAAACAAATCTGTTTAGGAAGGTATTGTTAAGTTGCTCTGAATTTACAGGAAGTGATGTCACAGAGGGCCAGCAGCAATCGGATTTAGAATATATGAGAATCACTTGAGAGCTGATTAAAAATGTAAGCTTCTGGCTTGTACTCCCCAGACATTCTGAGTTCATAGGCTGATAGGTCCCAGCTGCATGTTTAACAAAACACAATAGATGATTCTGATGCCAGTGGTCTACACACTTTGAAAAGCAGTGCTGCAGACAGTTATATCAAGGTGCAAAACGTTTTGTGTAGTGTAGGATAATGAGTAGAGCCACGAGACCATGACTGAAAAGTGCCTCCAGTATCCTAGGCAGTGAATTAGGTGTTTTGCCATACATTATTTCATTGGATCCTCTCGGTAATCTAGTAATTAATGTCATCTGCATTTTTCAGATGAGGAAATTGAGCCACTCAATGAGGTTAAGTGACTTGCTTGAAATTACACACTGAAACTCAGAACTTCTGAGTTGAGTAATCTTTATGTTAAACAGTATTGTTTCTTAAGATCTAGAACTTTAGAATAAGAACAATACAAGTAAAATATCATTTTGACAAATTATTTTTCCCACCCCTTATTACAAGCCTAAAACTACTAACATGACTACTGTGGTTTGACAATTGTTTTATAGGACATGGAAACGAATTTTGAAAACCACTCACTTTCTGTGAATGAAACTCATTTACCTAGCCAAAACCTCCTTCATCTGTTCTTTCTTATAAGTTGTATAGAGTTACTTCTTTGATCCCTTTCTGTTCCTTCCTTTGATATCTGGTAAAGCTCACGGTTTTAAGTGGCTTCTTATGTTGCCAATGAAATGACCAACCTTTGTATTGAGGTGAGGGAGAGTGGCTCTTTTCAACTTAAATGTTCTTGTCTGCCATGACATTAGCTGTAAAAACTACCACAATCAGCCTTCAAATACAAAAGCCAAAAGTCACTTTATTGTTAACTCTTAAGTCCAAGGCTTAAAGTCACCAAACTACAATCCCTTCCTAGCCTCCTGTAATCAGAGTATTGTCAGAAGGGTCAAAGTCTGACACCTGCCGCTGACCTGTCAGGTTTTCAGATTTGAATTTTAAGCCCCAGAGTGATCTATTGACCTGTGTCTTTGACTGTTATAATTGGTTAATTTGTAAGATTTGACATCTGATATTTGCTAACTTTTTATAGGGAGTTGTATTTGTAACGGAAGAAGAGAAGAATAAAAAATATTAGTTTTAAAAGTGGCCTATGTGACTGCTTTTCTAAAAAGGTATTTAATGCTCTTAGTACTTTGGCTTATCTCTTTGAAATAAAGCTAATACACAGGATTGCCTTCACATTGTTGTACTCTTCCTTTCTTGATTGATAATTGCATTGTCTTAGAGCCTAGAAATTGTTAATATTAGCTAAAACTACTTGGCTGCTCTATTAGAAGTTCCCTTTTTGTCAAATTTTTCTCAAACATGTTTCTGCCTCACAAGGAGCCCCAGGTATTCATGAGGTAATGGAGTACCTAAGAGGCCTAATTTTGTGGACACACTATGGTAAAATATAATTTTGGGGTATTAACTTCTCAGCTTCTGTCTTTAAAAAATAACCCCATAAGAAGTCATTGCCTATCTCTAGACATCCCAGTTGTTTGCTATCATTTAAGCCAAGAAAGCTCTTTGGTTTGCTTTTATTCTAGGCTTAATGTTTATGTAACCTTAACATTCCCCAATCTTGTTTCCTGCAGGTAGACTGGGTACAATGTGATGGTGGCTGTGATGAGTGGTTTCATCAAGTTTGTGTGGGTGTATCTCCAGAAATGGCTGAAAATGAAGATTACATCTGTGTAAACTGTGCAAAGAAGCAGGGGCCAGTTAGCCCAGGTCCAGCACCACCTCCTTCCTTCATAATGAGCTACAAACTACCAGTGGAGGATCTGAAAGAGACCAGTTAGCAGATGCGTGGTTAGTTTGGGACATGGGGGAAATGGACCACATTGAGACCTTAGCCATCAAGTAGAGTGGTTTCTATCCACTTGGAATGTTGCTTCCAAAGATGAATGGCCTTCAGAGAAAGTCCTCCTAGTGCTGGCTTCCTCTGCATGGACTCTGGGGGTTACACTCTGTCAACGTGTCTATGCAGAGGGTGTCTTCTTTGGCACAGCAGCCAATAGTTCATGTCTTCTTTGAGTGTGGTTTACTGCATTAAGGCCAGATGCCTGACTGAGCTCTAGGGTGGCTGGTTAGTATTAATGCATTGGTGTGCTCACAGGGCGTGTAGGGTGTGGCTTTTGTCCAGCTAATAGTAGTTAGAGACTTACAGCTTAGGAGCAGCACCAACTGAAGGTGCTAATTGCTTGGATCACCTTCACTGGGATAGTTGGAGAGGGATTGGAGCACCACTTTCCTTCCACTGTTACCTGGTGCTTAATGCCCTGAAGATACAACTAGGAGTAACAGGGCCAAAGTTATTTCTGTTAGACGTCAAGGAATGGTATCAGTCTATTGACATCAGCTATTTGTGCTTGTTTGTGCTAGAAGAACACCCCAAATAGGAGAACCTCTCAGCTGGGGCAGGTCACCTTATCTTTGTAAGGATGAGGATGTCATCTAGATCAGAAATCGGACTAGATTGGATTCTGGGGAGAAGAACCTACTACAAGGCAAGGAGCCGTTTTTTGGCATTGAAAAGTCTTGCTGTCTTGGGTCTACATTTTAGGGAAGAGCAGGTACATGGATTCAGGCCTCTGCCACAGAAAAAAGAGAAGAAGATGACGACGATGACCAGTCATACTATCTTACTGAGCCACAGTGATGCATGCTTTTCGGGGAAAACTTCATTCACAGTATTCCAGACACCAGGCTTCAGGCATGGCCATGAGCAAGACCAGCAAATAACAGCTTTTTGCCTTGCAGCCCTGACCCCAATGTCTGCTGTTTCCAACACTGGCAATTTCTAACTACGGCCCGCAGCAGATGCTGTTGAATAACGCCATGGCTTCATCAGAGGATGCGGGGTTGTAGTACCTCTGGGTGATGAAGTTATTTTAGTAAATCCATTTTTAAAAAGAAAAAAAAAGGACTTGTTTTTACTTTTTTCTAAATGTCTCTGACTACTGACTGTTCTATAAATAGATTATTTTTCCTTTTTTAATATACATATATGAATATATAAATATATATATTTACTGTTACCAGCAGCATATGACAGAGTTTCAACATCAAAAATCCATTTGGGGGCTTGCTTTTTCTTTTTTGCTTTAAAAAAAAAAATCCCATTCCTTCCTTGTAGTACAAGGAGTTAGCACTCCCTCCTCCATCCCAGCCTGACCAGATCTTCCATTTTGCTTTTGTTCATATAGATAATTATATGTCCTTTGTATGTTGGGACTTGTTCCTGTCTGTTGGGAAACTTGGTCTCACTCTAGTCTGTGCTGGCTGTTTTTTCTTTTGTGTGTGAATGTTTGAAACTATGGTGCTGTGTCCTCTTCCCTCCTGTTGTGTTCTCTGTTCTTAAGATTTTAGGTAAGCTGTATGTAAACTCTTAGTAGAAGGGGACTAATTTTTTTTAAAGGACAAAAAAAAAAAAAGACTAAAAATAGTGTTTTGTCATCACTGTCTGTCTGGTGTGTTTATTTTGGTTTAAAAAAATCTGTGGTTTGACTTAAATTCATCAGTTTTCCTTTTAAAGGGGGGATTGGGGTGGACCTAGCAACGGCTTATAGTCTCCTTTTCCCTTTTTGCCCCAGTCTCTTTTAAAGAACTGTCTTCTAGTAACTAGAAGTGAAATGTACTGTCCAGTTACAGTTTGAGTGGGTATGAGATTTAACTCAAAAGGCATCTTACAAAAAAAAAAGAAACATGTTTTCTTATAAAATCCAATTTATGTAAATGTTTTCTCTGTAGTTCATACTACCTACTTTTTATTCATTCTTTCCTTAATACTGTATAACCTTTTAAGTGTTTTGACTTGTCCAGAGGTTTGTTAGTGTTGCTGTGCATGTGTCTTGAGGTCTCATCTCAAGTAAGTTTGTGTATGATCCAAGATTTCAGTGGATATTGCAAGGCAACTAATGAACCGATTTCATAAGTTTTCCTTTTGCCAAACTAACGATTATCAATTAAGAATTTCCTCTGGTTGATGTTATACAGGAAAGCACAATATTTTTTGCCTTTTGGTCTTCTTTGTAAAAGTCTTCAGATACTTGTGGGTTAAAAATTGAATGTAATGTTAAGTGACAGATGCCTGGAATACATTTACAATTTTTATTTTTCCTTCCTAATCATCCATTAACTAGTCCGCCATCAGTGGAGAGTCATGAGGATGCTGAAAAAGTATGACTAGCTTCCTGTTACCTTCTGACGTTTTGAAACTTAAATATGCCTTTTCATTGATACTGTGGGATTTTCTTTATTTACTTGAAAGTCATGGAGGATTTGGTATGACTTGACCACAGGTTTAGACCAAGGCTGAGAAGAACAGAAGGGAGAAATTAATGGCAAAACAAAAAAATACACAAATCTGCAGTTTTGGAATTAATGAAACAAGATTGATCTATTTAAAGAAATGTTGGTGTTCTAATACAAAGCATTATTTTCACTTAGAGAAAATTATTTACAACGTGCTCTCTTCTGTATTGTAATATTTTGTATTAAGACATGATTTAAAATGTCTTTCTACCCTTCTTATCTCCTCTGAACTGCAACTGAAGTTGCAATTCTTCATCATTAGTATTTTAACCTTGGCAAAGGTTATAGAAAGAAAAATGGGAAAATGGTAGGCCTTTGGTATTCTTAAAAGCTAAGTCATTAGAACTATGCAGATCCCCAAGTTTAGAAGTACAAATGTAGCACTAGTAGTTAGCTTTCTAGCTGGGGGAGAAGACAGGAGATTTTCCTTCCACAGATGTTTATTTTGCTTCCTGATACGTACCGCAGCAAAGCCATGTTGATGTGTAGATGCGGGACTTCCTCACTAAGCTGCTGCACACCAGCTTTGCCTGCATGATTCAAATTTGTGCCTCAGTAAAATTATAAATTATTGCATGTCATACTCTGAATAATTGAAAAGGCAAACATTAAACCTGTGATTGCCCACAGTGTACTTTAATAATAAAAAACATGGCAGCCAGGTGTACTCCAGTGCAGTGTAGTCAGGAGGCTGAAGTGGGAAGATTGCTTGAACCTAGGAGTTTGAGTCCTGCCTGGTCAACGGTGAGACCACGTCTCTCTCTCTCTCTCTCTCTCTCTCTCCCTCTCCCTCCTTTTTTTTTTTTTTTTAAAGAAAGGACAAAGGCTGACCTGTAAGATTAGCATGATTTTACCTGTGCTTTACTTCTGTTCTTCTCTACTTTTGTCTTTAGTAGGTGTCCAAAAAATGTCTTTTTGTGCTGCTTAATTTTTGGATTCTGGATGCAATTCAGTGCATGTAAAGAAACTACTTGCTTGTCAGTATTTTAATTCTGTAGTACATTTGTGTGAATATCAACCAGCACTTACAGTAGGAGAATGAAAAGAAAAACTGAGAAAGCCTCTCTTTCAAAGGATGGGATAATCCACTTTTTGAGGGAGAAAGTGACAGTTTGGAGTGGGATTTGAAAAGTGTAAATGGTGGAAAAATTTGAGCTGTTGAAGTCCCACATATAACCAGATTTGATAAAGTTTCACATGTGGATTAGCGTCGTGTGTGTAGAAGGTGCTTTTATAGCAGGTCCTTAAATACTCCTTTTGAAATTCCTGTTTTTAAAAAATCATACCATTACTTCTTTGGATATGAATGTCCCAAGTGGTATCTCATACTGTAGTATGAGGAAGAATGGATGTTAATGTATTGTTTTGAATTTTGGTCTTCTCTTGTCCTGGATCATATCCAGTCACCACTATGCAACAAATGATGTGCACTGGGCAAGGATATGATGGGTTATTCAAACTGTATCTTGCTTGTTTTTTCTTTTGCAGTACTCCAAGTGGTCTAAACAGGAATGTCTTGTAAACCTCAAGACTCCCTATTGATTATTCCCTTACATATTTATTTACAATTTATCAGGGTAATTGGTGGTGCCTTATGAAAAGCATAACTTGATTTCTTGATCTTTGAGCATGTTTTGTGTTTCTTCTGTTTTCTGAAAGAATATTAGATATGGTTGATTGCATTACATCTAAAAGATTTAAAAATTATGTGTATGCTCAGGTTCCCCACACCCACACCCACCCCTACCCCCTGTCATTTACATTGGTGGCAACTTTAAATGGTAACTAAGTAAAAGTACATTTTGGTAAGGAGTATTGATAATCCTGAGGAAAACTAGTGAGTACATGGGAGCCACCTTTAACCTGTGCCAAAGCAGTTTCTAATTTCATTTGCTCTCTAACTGCAAAATAAAGAACTGAGCTGAAATAATTTGATCAGTGGTGTGATTAGCCTATTATCATTGCTGAGAATAGTGTTTTTGGAGTGTGAAGTGATTCCTGAAGATTTCACCTGCCTTCTGTTTCCAGCAAGAATCCAGTGATGACCAACACATTTCCTCACCTTTGGTTCTTGAGAAGTTTATCCCTTTGCAACAAACCATTAATAGGGAAGACAAGGAAATGCTTTCCTTTTCTCTTTGGCTTCTTAACCAATTCAGACCCCAAGTTACTTCAGAGAAGCAAATGGCACCTTTTCCCCATTGCCAAGGATCCTAGCTTATGCAGATATGAAGGACAGATCATTTCTGAAAATGTTAAGACTCTGCTTGCTGTGAACTTGGCCTCAAAACAGTTTCATGAAATGTGTAACTCTCTATGTGTAGGTTAGGAGGAGGGTTGGTGGAAAGAGCAGGGGCGGGGAGGGAAATCTGATTACCTCCTGGGAAATAATTTTCTTGCCAACAAAAAGATACACTTGAAGTTTCTGAAGGTGGCAAATCCATTAAAAAAAAAATTGTGTTGGACTCTCCCAGTTTAGATCAAGTATTTCTTGGGGGTCTTGACATTGTGGTTGATACCAGTAAATGAAAGATCCAGAACATTTTCATTTAAAGCTCTACCATTAATTGGAACATGGTGAAACATTTTACACATTATAAAAGTAGGGAACAGTACAAAAGAATGCAATCAAATACTATATTATGTAAATAAACTAGAGTGATTTTGGAATTTCACTCTTCACTCCTTCTCACTTGTTTGTTCTTTGAAGTGTATTTCTACCTTGGTAGGAAGAAAGACTTGATTTAATCTTTCCTTAAAGATCCATGAAATTTCTTTATTAGGCAGAACTTCTCCCTAGCCTTATCTCTGGAGCTAGGTTGTGTATCTTGTCCGTGGGGGGAAGAAGGCACCACCAGAAGCAGCTTTAGAAATGGCTTGGTGGTCCCACCTTGTGTTAAGGAGCATTTTTGAAGGTGTCAGGGACATAGGATGAAATCAGAATTTTCTTTAGTTTCAAAAAAGGTTTTCAGAAGCCCAGATGAGAACCTTAGAATTACAGAATGTAAAGAACACTGGATTTGGGAATAAAATAATCTGGGTTTTAGCTCTATGTTTGGCCCCTTATGTGAGTTGCTTATCTATTGTGGCCCTTGGTTTCCTACCATATGCAAGTTAGTCACAAAGAAACAAGTTATAGCCCCTCCCCTTGACAGGGTAAGACGTAGATGATTTCTAAGGATGTTTCTTCCTTAAAAAGGTTATAGAATTTAAAGATGACAACAGAGGCTGTATAGTCCAAATCCCCATTTAATGAGAGAAAAATTGATTGGGCACTCCTGAGGACAGAACATACAGTGTCTGTCCTATCTTGGAAAAATCTAAGTATTGGTCACTAACATGTATCGGAGCTTGCCTATAGTCTTCCCTCTGCTGGGGTCTGAATTTTGCGGCATTTTCGAGCACTTTCCCTTTTGCCGTGGGACTAGCATATCTGCATCTCTCTATTCCATTCAGTGCTGAACTCCTGGGAGGTAAGGCGAGAGTGTTAGACACATTTTGACAAACCTAGCCTAACCGTTCCATCATCTGTGGGCCCCTTCCCTCTGCAAATTCTGCTGCTCTGTTGAGACCAGCAGCTTTAGTCTTTCTGACCTAGCCCTGCCATCTCTAACTGGGGCTAAACTTCACTGAGACACAAAACAGCATATCATTCGTGTTCTCTTTCGTACCTTGAGTAACAATTCAAACTCATGTCACCTTGGTCACTTCCCAGGACTTGTTTTGTCATAGAAGCATCTCGTTCCAGAGTTCAGTTGAAACACTGAGAGACTGGTTTGATTCCCTTTGCTTCTCATCCGGATAATGCATTGCTGCCATCTGAAATAAGCCCATCCAGTCATCAGGCCTCAAATTGCTACCTGTTTTCCTCAATTCGTTTTACCGTTGCTGCCGTCCTTGCCAGTTCTTTGCATTATAGAGATTTTCATTCCCTATTCCTTTGTAAATATGCTTTTCTGCTTTTTCATTAACTGGAAACGGACTCTCCCTCAGCTGTACTTGCCTTAGGACTCTTTCAAGTGGAGAGTGTTCGTCTTCTCACTTTTCTGCCGGTGAATGGATGGACTACAGGGTCTGCTGCCCCTGTGTTCTTGATTCCACTGCTACACCGTTGTTCTTCTGTCCCGAGGCTTCTGCTGTTCAGCTGCACCGTCTGTCCTCCTCACCGCCATCTCTGGTCACTCCCCTTCATTTATGGAAGGGACTTTGATGATTGATGGGCATCTCTTTCCCCAGTGCTGCCATCATTCTGGGCAGTTTCATTAGTCATGGATGACCTTAATTTCTGGACCTCCATCTCCACTAGTCATTTTCACTCCATTTAGCAAACCAGTTTTAAGTCAACACTTTGGACTCATCAGAAATTTATTTTCTGAAATGTAGAATCGATAATTCTATGATTTTAGTGTCCTTTAATTTCTTCCTCTCAGTATACAGTATACTTATTCTTTGACCTCAAGAAGCCTCCAGTTCCTTAACCAACCTTCCCCACCCCCCCCCACCCCCGTTTGTCAGTTTACTCTGGCTTTACCGCTTCCCCGTTTAGCATCGACTGTGGCCTGTCGCTCTGGCTCTGCAGAAACTTATCGCTGGATCAGTTTGGCTGTCTGACTTCTTTGCTTTCATGGGCTGCTGCGTACTACTGAGTATGTACCAGTGGTTGGTGGCACCACAGATTCTGACTTCTTTGCTTTCATGGGCAGCTGCGTACTACTGAGTGTGTACCAGTGGTTGGTGGCACCACAGATGGACTCGAGTAGGCAGGTGCTTGAAGCAGTTCAGCAGCCCTGGCCGTCCAGCAACCTCTTCCATTCTTAAAGACTATTTCAGATTTTCACCTCTTGTCAAATAGCCTGTCACCTCTGCTGCCTCTGCAGAGGCCTACCCTCCTAATGGGTAAATTGAAGCTAACAGGAGAGCTGCTAAGCTTCTTCCTCAGTTATCTATATCATCATCCTCATCTGTCCCAGAGGAGGGGTCTGTCCTGTGGTCAACACTATGAAAGTATAGGTGAATGAGCTAATCAGTGAATCCTATCCCATTGTAACTCCTTAGAGACCTTGTTCTGTCAGTCAGCCCTTTATCTTCCGCATCTTTCATTTAGCATATAATTTCAAGCTCTGTATTGAACAGGAGAGCTCAACTCCTATATGTTTTCCCTTGAACCTGTCTCTTTTCCTGTTCTCTTCTTCTTATTGAAATGCTACCTTTTCAGAGGCCCCCATGTTTTCTCTTGCAATGGCCTGTTCTATTCCCTTAGGGGACTTTGCCATATATGGCATATTTGTGTAAAAGTTCCACGAGAGCCTAGGTTTTGTTTCCTTTATCTCTCCATATGCAGCAACTAGAACAATACTATGCATAAACATTCAACAGATAACTTGAAGGAATGCTGTTTCATGCCTTCGTTCCTTCCTATACATTATTGCTCCCCTGTTGTTCTCTGTTTGGACTGCCATAACCTCATCTGCCTTTTCTCCTTACTACTTTCTCATTCTTCAAAATTCAGCTCATCCCCAAATTCCTCTGAGAAGTTCTTCAGGTTACTCCTCTCCATCTAATCTGAGTTAGATGTCCTTTCTTGGAGCTCTAATAGCGTTTAGACTAGACACCGGTCCTCAGAGTGAGGCTTCTGCATGGACAGCATCACCGTCATCTGGGAATTCATTAGAAATGCAAACTATGAGGCCCTACCCTAGACTTTCTAAATCAGAAACTCTGGGAATGGGGCCAGCAACCTGCGTTTTAACAAGCCCTGAAGGTGACTGTGATGCATGCAAAGTTTGAGGACCACTAGAACATAGTCCCTGTAGAATATATCTCCAGGATCTGACACAACACACAGAACAGGATTATTGTGAAGATCTTCCTTATAAAGACCTGAAGTCTATCTTCCTGTAGCCTCATCCATCCTAGTTGAGCATATGAAAAACTAGTTCAGTTGCATCTCTGTTCGGCAGCCTTATAGCATTTGAGGATAGCGGTCATCTCTACTTCTGCACCTCTCGTCCCCAACTCCTCTGGTTTAATATCTTTTTTTTTTCTCATGTGCTCTAACTTTGAATCCCTTCACTTTCCTCATTGGGCTTCTCTGGACAATTCCAACTTACTTCATATCCATCTTAAATACATATTCAAAATACCCTTTTAGCTTTTAACCTACAGCTCTGAAAGGTGGAACTATACATGTCTATAATCACCCCAGCAAGACAGAGTTCACAATGAACATAGAATTCCATTTGTACAGTTGGAGGTGTTCCCAGGTGGGCAGATTGCTTGAGGTCAGGAGTTCAAGACCAGCCTGGCCAACATGGCGAAACCTCGTCTCTACTAAAAATACAAAATTTAGCCGGGCGTGGTAGCGCCTGCCTGTAATCCTAGCTACTCGGGAGGCTGAGGCACGAGAATCAATTGAACCCAGTAGAGGCGGAGGTTACAATGAGCCGAGGTCACGCCACTGCACTCCAGCCTAGGTTTCGGAGGGAGACTCTGCCTCAAAAACAAACCGAACCTGTCGCTCCCATCCTAGACCAATCTAATTGCAAGTATCTCACAGGGAGCCCAAGTATCAATGTTTTTTTGTACAGCTTTATGGAGGCATAATCTACATACCATAAAATCCACTTATTTTAATACATGATTTTAGCAAATTTAAAAGAATTGTGCAACCCTTACCACGTCATAGAAACTTCAGAATGTTTCCATCACCCACAAAGAAACTTCATGTCTCTCTGGTCAATCCCTGTTTCTACTCCCAGCCCTAGGTGACCATTAATCTGAGTCTCTCTAGAGTTGCCTTTTCTAGACCTAAACATCAGGATTTTGTTTTCTGCAGCCAGAATTGAGAACCGTAGTTCTAAATGCATTATGAGAGACAATGATTTTTAAGGATTATGTATAATAAGTATGTTTTACATATTTTCATATTTATGACTCCCATCCATACAGTGAATGCATCTATCACCAGTAAGACAAAGATCATTAATTTGATAATGGAACTTAATAGACGATTCTATTATTTTCCTTTTCTACATTTTAGTATCATATTCAAAATGGCCTCCCATTCTCTCCCCAGGTTATTTTAAAACATCTCCAGTCTGCTTTTTTCCCCTTTAGCTCATAAATGAATAGTGCTGGATGATATCTTAGGAGCATTTTCCCTGAGATAATGTCTTCGGTAATGATTGCACGTATTGGTGTTGATTCCATCCTTGAAGTTATTTTCCTTTATCTTTCTCATTGGTGTTTCTTCACTAGAGGTTTTGCTGTCTGATTAACTTATCTGCCAAATAAATGGACTTTTGCTTCGTAGGTACACAAACATTTCTAAAACTTTTTTTGGAAAATATATTTCTTTTTTTAAAAAACAAATAACGCATGCACATTTAAAAAAAAAAAGAAAAAATATCCCAAAATGACCAGTTAAGATTTACTTTCAGACAACTCCGTGCATATTTACATATGCTTCTATACAACCATGTACACCTTTGCGTAAATGAGACCACACTCTACGTACTGCTTTGTAATTTGCTTCTTTCACTTAATACTGAGAACATTTGTACGTGACCATAGATATAGATTTGTATTGTTTTTAATGGCTGTATAGTTTTGCATTATACTGAATCTTAATGATGTTTAAGAGCTATGTATATTGAGGACATTATTTCTTTGTTTTGTGTTGCAAATTTTTGACCATGTTGTTATTAGTCTTTTAACCTTATTTATAGTTTTTTTTTGTTATAAAAGTTAAGTTTTATGATGTAAACTTAATCTTTTTGATTTTATAATTCCTGGTTTTCCTGATGTGCTTAGAATGACCTTCCCTACTACAAGATAATAAAAATACCTCCATGATTTTGCTTAAAACTTTTATTCTTTATATTAAATCTTTGTTACATCTTGAATTGATTGGTGTGAAGAATGCCAAGTTTCTTTATTGCTCTGTTGACTACATTTCTTAAGTTTCTTAAATGGTTTGCGTGTCTATGCATGTGTACATATAGTCATTCCAAAACCTCTAATATGCAAACACACTTTACAAATGTGTATACGTTCAGTATTTTCTCTATTTGTTATCTACTGCTGCATAACAGTATTACCACAGACTTAGCAGCTGAAAGCAACACACATGTATTGCCTCACAATTGCTGTGTCAGAAGTCAGGGCACAACTTTGCTGGTACCCTGCTTCAGGGTCTCACGAGGCTGTCATCACAGTGGTGGTCAAGGCTGTGTCATATCTGAAGTGTGAGGAAGAATCTACTTCTAAGCTCATGTGGTTGTTGGCAGCCTTTAGTTCCTTTTGGGTCATCGGAATAAGGGCCTTAGATTTTGGTTGGCCACTGGCCAGAGGTCAGCTTCAGTCCCTCGGCCTCTGCGCTTTCCCAACATGGCCACTTGCTTTCTCAAAGCTAGCAAGATCAGCTTACAATCTTACGTAACGTAAACGTGTATGTATAATCACATACATCCTGCCACCATTGCCCTATTCCATTGGCGAGAAGCAAGTCCCAGGTCCTGCCCATGCCAAGAGACAATCAGAAGGATGTGAGCACCTGGGGAGGCAGGGATCGCGGAGGCCACCTCTGATTGTGTCTGCTGTCCTCACACAGAATGTGCTGCGTCATACAAAGACTGAAGTGCCTGAGAGCATAAGTGAACTTCCTTAGGCTTAATATAGGCTGGTGCAAAAGTAATCGCAGTCAATCGCAAAGACCACAGTTAGTTTTGCATCAACCTATAAAAGTCGCTCTATCCATACTTTCCTATTCAAGTTAGATCAAAAAAGGTAAGTGTAATGTCTTTCTTTTTTAATGCTCATGAGAAGAAATGCAGTAACTTTTTACACTTGGGCTAACATTTTATAAGACTGCTGCAGTTTGAAGTATTTATAACTGCCCTTTGGCCAATATCCTGCATTCAGTAGAACAAATTTACTTCTTAGGAAAATAGAAATCTCCAAATCTTGTCAACCATGTTCTGGGTTCCTTAACTACTGATTCTCCTCTGAACACCCTCCAAATGGTTCATATCCCTTTTAATATCTATGCAAAGCATTCTCTTAGTCTTCAAATTACAATTCTGTCTGAAAGAATCAGATCTTGAATTTTAAAATTTATAGTATCCACAGTGTTAAGTATCTTTATGAATTTGTTTCCTCTCCATACATTTTTCTTCTACAGCCTGTGCTCTTGGAAGCTGTCAGCAAAAATTGGTGTAATTTCCATCCAGAAATGGAAACGTGAGGATTTCCTCATCATTGAAATTTGTCCTTTCCTGTGCATCACAAGAATCTCCGTTTTGTTCCTAGGGATGGATGCATTGGGGTTTTGTAAATTGGTAGTACGTGTGGTATGACAACATAGGAGCCAAGAGAAGAAACCGAAAGCAGAATTCAGAGTTTTAAAGTATTTCATCCCAAGTTTGTCAACTAGGAAGCAATGATTTCTTTCCAAGGTAATGATATTGCCATCGCTGCTATTGACAGGTGACTCTTCAGACTCGTTTACAACGTGGGAAGGGCGTGGATCCGTGCTGGTTCTGTGTGTTTGTTTCGCAGTTCTTGTTTGGAAGATGTTTAATATTCTAATTGCTGTAGGTTCTGTGGATTAATACATACACATCTTAAGTCATGTCTAGAATTACATAGCCCTAAGATTCTCAGGTATCCTAACGTCAACTTTTCTGTGCTTCTGTTACCACTAGGATAGTGTCTACACATTTCTAAAAGATGGCCTGCACACACACACAAAAAATGTATTTTAGAAATATGTATAGATGGCCTAGTTCTATCCTGGTTTTTCTAATATTATGAATTCAGTTACCATTGTATGGCAAATTGTGACTGAGTAAAGATTTTTCTCATTTTTCAGATGGTTATAGCAGGAGGTATTAAAGCTCTAGGAGATGACAAGTGGACAGGACAGAGCGAGAAAGAAATGGTGTGCTGAGTTCACCTGAAAGCCTCAGTTCCCAAGCTATTTCTTTACTAAACTGTGTTTTTCTAAAGTTGTATCTGTACCCTCTCTGGTTTGCAAAGAGGGGACAAAAGAGGGAAATTTTATACATATAAAGTCTAAAGAAGAGAGATCTGATACCTAAGGTCAAGGTATAGGGAAGGAATAGTATATAGTGTTAGAATATTTTGATGGGTAAATATGAGAGGTTATAGAAGTTGGAATGAAATGTGAATGTCAGTGTTAGAGCCTGCCTAACAGAAATTGAAGTAGACAACAATCCCCTTTCTTCCCCCCTTTTCAAGTCACAACAGCCCTGCTTTTTTGGCTACAGAAAGCAGCTGAGGCTCAATCCCAAAGCAGCAGTAGGTTCTGGTCCAAAGTGCAAACCAAAAGAAGCAGCAGGAGGGGTGGAACAGAGTCATTACCAAAGATTGAGTATAGAATAAAGTGATCTACGAAAACGAGCATGGAAGGGCATGCTACAGGCTAAAGCCAGACTCAGGAAGGCCTGCTGTGAGGGAGAGGAAATCTACAGCCCGGCGTGGGAGAAGAGAACCATGGGGGCAGAGTAAGTGGGAAGACGGAACAGTGAGTGACCCCGGCCACATGACTCAAGGCAAAGCCATACTTTACCATTTCTTTAAAGAACCAGCGTAGGTTCCTAGCGCAGAAGCTGGCAAGGATTCCTCTTGAATTCGTGTTTGAAAAATACCCTCAGATTGAAATTACTAAACAAGATGGTAGTGTTTCTGGTTACATGGAAAGCTGAGTTCAGGGACGGATCTAGATTTTTGTAGGTACTGAAGCTTAGACAATTCGCGGAGGGTCCTCTTTATGGAAAATGGCACAAAATTAATAATTCAAAACTAGGTACAGGGGATTGGAAGGCACCCATGCAAGGGAGGGGCCCCAAAGCTTATGTTGTATTAACTGCAAGGTAAATCTGCTTGAGTGGAACAGAAGGAGCCCGGGCAGACAGATGTCCAGATCCTACGTGTGTCACTTCGTAGCTTTGGAATCTTGGGCAATTTAGTTTTCCTGTCTGTGAAACTCAATTTCTTACCTATAAAATAGGGATAATGCCAGTCTTTCTGGCTTGTCAATAAAGACTAAATGAGAGATGTATGTGAAGGTGCCTAGGGTGTGCCATAACTGCTAATATGGATGACTTCATGTGGTGCTAAGTTTTGGAAGGATGATTGTTGATGAAAAGTGAGTATTGGCCGGGCGTGGTGGTTCACACCTGTAATCCCAACACTTTGGGAGGCTGAGGCGGGCGGATCACCAGGTCAGGAGTTCGAGACCAACCTGGCCAACATGGTGAAACCTCGTCTCTACTAAAAATACAAAAATTAGCCGAGTGTGGTGGTAGGCTCCTGTAATGCCAGCTACTTGGGAAGCTGAGGCAGGAGAATCACTTGAACCCGGGAGGCAGACATTGCAGTGAGCCAAGATCGTGCCACTGCACTCCAGCCTGGGCAACAAAGAGCGAAACTTCATCTCAAAAAAAAAAAAAAAAAAGGAAAAAGAAAAGTGAATATCGGTTATTCTGGTCATTATTGTTTGGAACTCTGATTCCTGGAGGTTAAGGAAATGTTTAAAGTATCTGCTGAGAGAGCTAAGCACTCCTAGGCTTTTATCTGTATTCAGGAGATGGCAGATGGCACTCTACTGTCTTCAAGAAGCTTACAGACTAGAGGTGCGAGTCTGGGCTATCCTTATTGGCTGTTGGAATTGGGAATATAAGAACTCTTGGAATAACTGGAGTTGCTGAAGAAAGAGCTGCGGCCAGAGCAGTTAGAAGAGGGGTGATCAGACCAGCAGTCTCTTTCCCTCCAAGCCTGAGATCAGCTGTGGAAGACTCAGAGCTGACGTGAGGCCTGGGGATGGCCCAGTCTTACTCTCTTGTTTTATGCATGAAAAACAGAGTCCTAGAAAGGCAACATGGATTGCCCCAGATTATGTGGCTGATTCAGGTCATATCCAGGACTAGAATTTTGGAGTTCTTCCTACCAGGTGATACATTTTTTTCATCACACTGAACTTGGCTCTAACTCATTCTCCTTTTATGCCCCTTCTTTAGTTTTCCTTCTGCATTGTCCATGTAGCAGAACTCTATGGAAGGCCACCCTGGTCCAACAGTCAGGCTGTGGGACCTTCTTCAGGCTGCTTCTGCCTCTTAGTCTGACATGTAGGTAGAGCTCTCTCCGTTGCTGATTTCTCCATTGGTGGAAACTGCAGAGCTGAAGCGAGCGGTACTAGCAGCCAGCAGGCAGGCAGCAGAAAGGGCCCGCGAGGGAGCTTTGGACACCAGTGCTTGACAGGGATGTTTAGAACCTGGAGAGCTTCCAAAGGAGAGCAATGAAAACAGTGGGTGGGGGTGAGAAGGAAGAACTCTTAGGAAAGATAAAAGGGTTTCAGATTATTTATCTTGGAGAAGAGAAGGCTGAGAGTGGCTTTGAAAAGGAGTTTCAGAGATAAGACCAGCTGTACTACATCTTCCCTGAGGATAGACTAAGAAATTAGCTAACAGCAGCAATTAGGCTACAGAGCTTTTCAAATTTAGCTGCCTCTTAGAGACTTCCAGAGAGCTTTTTAAAAAATCTCGATGTTCCAGCTTCACCTCAGAACAATTAGAATCTTCTCTTCAGGAGTGGGCATTAAACATCGGTAATTTCTTTAATGTTTCCCGGGGTAGCCAACATGTATTTCTGATTCAGAAAATTTTAAATTTTAATCTTATGGAATAATTGGGAGGAAAATTGCCCAATGATGTCAAACTATGCTAGGAAAAAAATGCATTTTTTTTTTTTAATGGAGGGAATAGGGGTAAGATATAACAAGAGTGGGAAAAGTTGGGATTGGGCTTAGTGTGAAGGAGGAGAATATAGGTGAGAGGTGGTGAAAACCCATGGCCAAGGCCTTGAGAACAGGTACAGGTGCCTTCCGCCCACTACAGTCACCACTTTCTGTTATGTCAGTTCACTTCTCTGAGTGTGTGTGGCTATCATGGCTGAGAAAGAGAAAAGAAGCCCCTGACAGCTGGGAATCGGACTGACATTGTCGATTAGGCTTTGTATTGCTAGGAGCTGCCCTGGTGTTCGTTCTCACATACCAATGTCAGGCAGGGCCACTCTGTGATCATGGTGGATCCAGACACAAATAAGATCACTCTATGATGATATCTGAACAAAGACAACAACGTGAACATCGTCCAACCCACACAAATGATCAAACATCCGATGCTGGCTAACACAAGTGACTGCTCCTTCCTTAACAATCACAACTTTTCGCTTCACTTCGTTTTTCCTGCTTTCTAGATAAAATCCATTAAGAAACCCAATTATAAAATTACTCCTCCTTCCGCACAGCATCCGATCCAAAGCAAAGCCCGGCTTCCTGAAGCCTCCTCAAAATCACCTAATACGAATTCATCCAATAACAAGTCCTCAGTGACACCCTGTGACTGAGACACCTCACAGTTTACATTGTGTGCACGCTCCCTTGTTGCCATGAGTAACGAACCCAGCTTGTTTAACTGTAGGTGTGTTCCTCATGGTCTTTGGCTCACAGGCATTGACGCCACACAGTTTGAGCAGGCCCTGTCTGTTTCTTGTTTGGGGAAACCAGGACGGATGAGAGCTGTCATGTTTCCCACTCATGGGAAACAGTCGCGTTTTCCTTCTGGGTTCCCTCCCTCTCTCTGGGCTGAGACAGAGATGAGATTCCGGCCACACTTTGCATTCCACATCAGTCAGCCACATGACCAGTGCATCAGTAGATTTTGCTCATCACAAATAACGTCCTGCAGTGGTGTTTAAAAATGTTTAGGATAAAAGACTGTCCAGAGATTGAAGTTGCTTTTTTTAAATGTTGCCACTCTGCCCTCACCCCTCACCACAGCTTGATGGTGTCAGGGCGTCTCCGTTCCCTCAGAACCCCTGCTCACTAACTGTTCATCAGGAACTTCCCACTGAGACTAGTTGCATAAGGGTTGCAAACTCTGTGTACTCTGAGAGTCGGACAAGAAATCAGGGAAACAGGGATTGGAAGAAACTGGATAAAACTGGAAAATAACTGCAACTACTTTTTGTAGAGTTAAAGACAAAAGGTATGATTTTCCTTAATAGGGAGGGCAGACTAGTAGAATTGTGGAACACATTGGGATGGGAAGAGAGCCTTCTGATTAGATTTTTTAAGTATTCTTCAGGTCTGATGAGATTTTCAGTGAAAGCAACCTTTTTCTTGTCATTTTCATTGTTCACCTCTTTCCTGAGAAAGTTATATTTAATCCCACGGGCCAGCAATAGCCAAAATAAACAGTACTAGAGTTGTGCTTTTTAGTGTTTCTCTTGTCTTTTTTCCTCCACCTCTAGACTTAAAGTATAGATAGCATGGTAGCTATAAGTAAATAATGGACTTTAGAATTCTACAAACCTGAGTTCAAATCCTGGGTCTACCATTTACTAGTTATGTGGCCTAGCAAGTAATTTAATTATCTTTAAGGCTTTGTTTTCCTATCTTTAAAATGATCTTGTCAGTAATTCTTGTGTCATAGGTTTGTTCTGAGGATAAAATGAAATGGTGCCTGTATAGCACTTAGCGCCATGCCTGGCACGTTTGAAATGCGCAGCAAACGTTAGTAATGGTAATGGTTGGTGTTATTAATATTCTTTGTCGTAAGTCTTGTTTCTTTCGGACGTTGGGTCTGATGTGGTGGCTCACGCCTCTAATCCCAGTGCTTTGGGAGGCTGAGGCAGGATTGCTTGAGGCTAGGAGTTTAAGACCAGCCTGGGCAACATAGCAAGACCCTATCCCTATAAAAGATTAAAAAATAATTAGCTGGGCATGGTGGTAGTCCACGCTACTGGGGAGACTGAGTTGAGTGGATCCTTTGAGCCTGGGAGGTTGAGGCTTCAGTGACCTATGATTGTGCCGTTGCACTCCAGCTTGGGCAATAGAGTGAGACCCTCATCTCAAAAACAACGAAAAAAGAAAACAAATTGGAGCTTATAGAATTTAGGTAAATTATCCCATCTGGGATCAAACAGAAAGGTCTTCAGAGTTTTTAGTGACCTCTCTGGTTTCTGCATGTAACATCCGAGAACTTTTCACAGCAGGGTCAAGTACTTGGGCTGTAATAGAGTATAAACAAAACAAAACAAAAAAAAAAAAAGAAAAAACTTTATTTTAGACTTACAGAAAAATTGCAAAAATAGTACAGAGAGCTTCCATCTTTCACTCAGCTTCCCCTAATGTTAGCATCTTTCACAACCATGGCACAGTTGTTGGAACGAGGGAATTAACGTTGGTAGGGTACTAGTAAACTAAAGACCTTATGCAACTTTCACCAGTTTTTACATTCATGTCCTTTTCTATTCCAGGATCCTATCTAGGATCCCATTCAGGACCCCACATTGCATTTGGTGGTTGTCATTTTCCCTTAGTCTCCTGCAGCCTAAAACACTTCCTCAGTCTTTCTTGTCTTGTCTGTCTTGTCTTTGGTGACACTTTTGACACTTTTGAAGAGTAGTGATCAGTAATTTTGTCAAATGCCCCTCACTTTGG